TTTAAGAGAGGCCTACTCGAGGCTGCCGCCGAATGCTGCGGATATAAACGGGTTGGCCTGCCGACTGGAGGAATGGAGGAATGATCTTCATGGTGGAAACGAGAGGTACAACTGGCAGCTGAAGAGAGGAAAGCTGCGTTCAAGAGATGGCTTGGAAACAAAGAGCCTTCAACTCGCGTGCGATATGTCGAATCATGCAAGGCGGCAGTGAAACCAGTGGCGAAAGCCAAGGGTGATTCCTGGGAGAAGTTCGGTGAGGTGTTGGAGTCAAATTTCCACAAGGCAAACAAGATATTCTGGCAGACCATCCGCCGGTTCCGAAATGAAAAGAATGGCAGTCTAAGAATCTTGAAGGACAGGTATGGAGACCCTCTTACCGATGACAAGGACATTCTTCGGCGCTGGAGAGAGATTATGAGTAATTCCTCAACCCTGAACAATGGCAAGCAGATTCGCATATACAGCAGCAGAAATCGGACATAAGTATTTCTGTGAAAGAAATCATACAAGCTGTGAAAAGGTTGCAAACTGGAAAGGTTGCTGGGTTTAATAAAACACGCCCTGTGATGCTCAAAGCATTAGGCAAACAAGTCATGTGCTGGCTTGCACTTGTCTGTCAAACTGCAATGGTAGGGGAAACACGCCTGCGGACTGAAGATCCGCAATTTCAGTGCTCCTGTTCAAAAAGACATGACATAGAGAGTGCTCATATTACTGAAACATTACCTCATCGAACCGCCTGATAAATTCTACACAAAGATTATGTTTGTCAACGTCTATGTTGAGTTGCTTGGCCGTATTTGATCAAAGTCACTGACGCTGCCATAGTCTCTCTGAACAACCACCGTCGAGTCAATGAACGTTGAGTCAATAGCTGAAACATCGGCAGAACCGAGACGATGTTTCGCCATTTTTGCTCGGTCACAGATTCGTTACCAACCGAGTTCGCGGCTGTGGTTCGTATCCTTTAACTAGTCAAGGGTTCGCGTCAGTGATAGTTGACAGATGTCCGTCTGGTCCAAGAACACTTCGTTCGAATCGTACTGCTTTGCGTTCAATTCTCGATCGCATCGCTTTAAACAATGTCATCTCTAATAATTGTGAAAGGGTACTGCGAGACAGCAGAGAAATGCATGCCAATTCGGTGTTTGGAAAATAGCATCTTCAGTGAGAAACCAGGCGAGATGGTGCTTGAATGTGGTTGCAGTTACGAACGCGCCAAGGTACGGAGAAACACTCTCTTTAGACGCCAGTGTATCGGACAGCATTCACGGTATCCAGACAGTCCGGATCAGATAGATATCGGTATAAATACCGCTCAGTGCTATAATGTTAAGCATCTGAACACAGTATTGAACCGTTACCCACGTGTCAGACGGAAATAACATCTTCGTTTATTGAATCATAACAGACTGGTTAACCGGACTTGGTGCGATTCTTCTGTATTACAAGCTGCACCGGGTTTATCTGGCCAGCTAAACAAGAAAAGCAACAATCAGACACGCTGTTCGCAGACGTGACGTTGAAGCTGAGGCCGACTGATTGTCGATCGTTCCGGGGTTATTGCCAGCTGTTTGCAGCGGTTTATTCAGTTATTTGAGAAGTACTCCTAATGATGGATGGCCAAACGTAGGAGTAAAGAAAGAATTTTATGTACGTGTGCTGTATAGCGATTGGAACCTTCTTCTGAGCACCAGACTTTTTTTCGGGGAGGAGTGATTTCGATTACATGGGTCGTTGCTGCTGTTATCACCATTCTTTGAGACCGGTGCTGATCAGTCGGTAGAGTCTTTGACTCAAAGCTAAAAGGTTGGGGGTTCGAGTCCATAATGACACTCGCCTTTCTTTCTTTCGAGTTTGATAAATCAGCATCACTCTGTAGGAAGAAAACAGAATACTACGATGCCACATAGTTTGTCAACTCTATTTTTAAAATAAGGCCCTCCTTGCTTACGGTAAGGAAATGGAGATCGGCGCCTCATCATTAACTTAAAACGTACGGGTGCCAGAAACGACATCATGACGAAAGCATTAGGAAAACCAACATCCCAGCGGTTTCAAAACTTCCTTTTTCCTTTGGTTTACAACCGCTGACTGAGAACTCACAGCTAGGAAAGCCGAGAATGAC